TTACAAAACTTTTTTATTCAGTATTTATTTGTTGGATTTTATACTGTTTTCTAAAGTTCTAATAAACCATTTGAGAGAAGTTCCTAGGAGTGTTGCCTCCTGCTGTGCTTGGAGCCCTGGACAGGTGGTACAAGGCACTAAACCCTCCCAGGGGATGGAGAGGCTCCGTGGATGTGGGCACAGCTCTGCTCTGCCTGGGAAAGGGTCAGGCTTGGCCTCCTGGACCAAGGTGAGGTGGTGGTGGTTGGTTTGGAGATGTGCAGCTTGGAGTCCTCACTGTGAGCTCTGCAGGGCAGGACTGCAGTGTTCTTCCCCTCTTTTACTGGAGCTCTGACCACAGTAAGTTCTTACAGTAACATTTAACTCACTTTCCTGGTCCCTCAGGATCCTGTGGCTCCATCCAGGATCCCATGGCTCCAGCCCCAAAGCAATGAGACACTCACATCCATTCTTTAAAAAAAGAATTTTATTGTTACAACTAAAATGAGAACTGAAAACTTGTATGGGAGATTGCAAAACTGTACAGGTGCACTCGGCCCTGGGCCCAGCAGCGGCTTACACAAAAGACAGAGATACCTGAAACTGGAATTATACCAAAACATTCAGCTTTTTTCTGGGGTTTTATATTTTTTTTATAAAAGTTTATTCTATGGCAATCTGTAAAAAAGAAAGACCTGATGAGTAAATATTTGCTTAAGGCAGATAGCAGAGCAGCTCACTAACTTTCTAACAAGTCTAACATGGATGTTTGTCCATTTTCCAAGAACAGGTTACCCCACACCCCACGGTGCGACGCTACGGAATATACACACCCCAACTACTACAGACAGGTACAGGACAGCAAACAAATGGTACAGTTCAGTGCCTGAGCCTCATCCACACCTCACGGGGCCTGGGGGACACTCACTGGGGTCCAGGGCAGTGCAGGAGAGCTGCACCTGAACAGAGGCAGAAAGGGGATGCTCAAAGCTCTTCTCTCATCTGCAGCAACTTTCTCTTGCAGAATCATTTGCTATTGGATTGTTCTGGATTCAAAGAAAGGATGTCCAGGGAGGCTGTGGCTGCCCCAACCCTGACAATGTTCATTCCAGGTTGGATGAAGCCTTGAGCAACCTGCTCTGGTGGGAGGTGTCCCTGCCCAGGGCAGGGGGTTGGGGCTGGGTGGTCTCTAAGCTCCATCCTAACCCCTAAAATTCTATGAGTCTAAGATTTGTTTTCTCGCCATACTTAAAATCTAAAATTTCTCTTGGGAATCATGTCCAGAGGTGAATTTGGTTTGGTTGTTTCTTTCCAGCTGTGCCCCCTGCCAAGGTGCTCCTGTGGCCTGGCCGAGGCTTTGCTGCCCACCCTGAGCCAGGGTGAGGTGTGGATAGGGCTGACTAAACTCTCTGGAATGTCTGTACTACACTCACTCAGCTGAAATGAACATGCTACCACCCGGAGTACGCAGGAATCCCACAGGAAGTCATGCCAAGGGTTAGGTGAGTCCATGGTACCTGACAGACTCAGCCTAGCTGAACCAAGAGGCTTTCAGCAACACCCTCAGAACCACAGCCACTAAGGATCAGGTCATGCAAATACCACTTGGGCACATCAGGAAGCAGAAATACAAGTTCTTTCACCTTTCAAGCACGTGGTGTTTCATTGGGACACCGGAGACTTCACATGCAGTTTGATACAAGGGGTACAACTGGTGCCTCAGGGCAGGGTCCTGCCCACGCTGCAGAGAACAGTGGGGACAAAGCAATCACATACTGTATCTTAAATACACAGATGAGCCATTATATATTACCATTTTTCTATACTCATTTTTCCTGTTTCCAATAATATAACTAAATATTGACTGATTACAACATTCCTCCTTTTAAGTACTGGTCTGACCAACAGTCTCACAGGTAAAGGATTGATTCCCAGTACTACCTGAGGATTTAATAGTGAACTCTTGAAAAGCCCTTGATGAAGCTTAACAAAACACAAAAGAGAAACAACTCCCCCCCCCCTCCATCCCCTGCACCTACTCACTGAAGGAAGAGCAACTACACCTACAGCCAGCCTGGCAAAAATAAATAGGGAGTGGAGAGCCCTCCCCTGGACTCCTGCACAGCGAGGGCTGCACTGAGGGTGGGTAAGTGCTAGAACTGTAGACAGACCTTGGAAACAAAGAGGGATCAGTGACACTGCTGCAGATCAGCTGCCACAGGTCAGTCCCTCACTGCCCATCCAGCAGAGAGGGTACCCTGACTCTGCACCAGGGCACAAGCAAAGAAACCTGTGCTGGTATTGTTCAACCTATTTGTAATTTGGTACTGCCACCAGGACCAGCACTGACTGCCCTGTGCAGTGCTGCCTTCCAGTTAGTCCTACCAGCACCCCAAACCCCTAATCTCCAGCACTTCACACCCTGTGCAGGTGTGGGGCACAGCCTGGTGGCAGGGCAGGGCCCCGTGGCAGGGGGAGCATAGCTGCAGGCCCCACTGCAGCCTGGACCTCTCCTCTTTGCTTCAAAGCAGCACATGCAAACTCTGCATCATAAGCCAACGGACCTGGTCACAGAGCACCTCGTGTCCTGCTGACCCAGTCTGCCCTGGGGAGCTGCCACAGCAGGGACTGCTCTGGAGGACCCAAACACTCTCCTGCAGGGCCCCGGGGAGCTGCCCCAGCACCACTGGTGCTGACACAGCAGCTGCAGAGTGAAACTGCACCTTACATTCCATGCTGAGGTTTAGGACCTCACAGTGCTGGTGGATGTGGTTTGGTTCCATTTCCCTTCCTGGTTCTCTCCCTCCCCTCAAACCCCAAACAGAAAAGTAAAACCAGCTTTAGAAAGGATGGTGCAATGTAAAGAGGCATATGTGCAAGTCGAGTGCAACACAAGTCCATGAGGAGCTACACTGAGCAAAGGAAACAAAGCAACCCAAAGAGCAGGACACGTTGGGACACCCTGAGGAAACGCAGAAGCCTTGGTTCTACCACCACAGGAAACACAACCAGCTCCTTAACAACACTTATGCAAGATTAAATATATCAATACCACAGGCACTGCCCACAACTCAGTCTTTAATGATGAAGCAAGGTAAGAAAAACCAAACCAAAACCCAACCACAACCATCCCTCCCTTCCCCACGTTACATTCTTCAGGTATGTGGGTTTCTCTCTCTGTTTTGGGAACTAGTCAATGTAAGTCATGTATTTGGTTACAACACTTGGAGAGTACAAGCAAGTTTCACTTGTGCCTAGTTTTTTCTGAAACAAAAGAGAACGAACTGGCTTTTAAAAAAGGCTAAAAACAACAATGTGTTGTAATTCTATTATTTAGTTTAAAAAAAAAGAGAACAAAAAGGAAAACAGACTATTTGGCATTTTCTCTGCTTACTCCTGAATATTTTAAGGCCCTGAGATTAGAATATTATGTTCTTGGGACCACAGGGCTAGATAAAACCCTAGTGCATCAATTCTCTCTTGAAGCCCAACCCAAAGTTCTGGCCTTTCACCCCAAGATCTCCCTCCTCTGAGACAAGGCTGCCCTGCCTGCACTGCTGCTCTCAGGGCAGCTCCTGCCCCTCGGGGTCTGTCTCGCCGGCACAGCCATCAGTGGAAACACACCCTGTAGCAGAGATAAGCTCCTGCTGTGAGGAAAGCGAACATGCAGATATTCACTAGAAATGGCTTCCAAGTTGTCACCATGTTCTCATCATCCTCTTCCGAGTTTTCTGCCTTCAGCGACTCTTGGTGGGCTGAGAGCTGCAGGTTCTCCCCAACAGTTCTCCTCCGCAGTTCAGTGTCTTGACTAGTGCTTGGGGACAGAGAATAAACATTCAGAACTGGACTGGCCCTGCCTCCGAGGGCAGGAGAGAGCTCCCCTGGAGCTCAGCACACTGTACATCCACACCCCCCTCACTGTGCCACAGAGGCACCACCTGACGGGGGAGTCACACCAGCCTCAGTACAGGACCTTCCCCAAGGACACTCTGGGCTGGAACTACCATTGCTACCCTTACTCTAACCCCACCGAGGTCTGTCCAGGCCTTTCTGCATGAAATGCTGTTTCTGTGCCAGCTCCCAGTGCCACATAGCAGAGCTCCCCAGGGGAACACGTTACCTGTCTGTGCCCAGCGGCGCAGGTGCCGTTGCTGAGCCGTCCAGAAGAGTCTCCTCCCCAGAGCTGACTGAGCACCCGATCTGCTCCTCTGCTCCCTGGTGCCTGGGCAGGAGCTCCGTGTGCTCGTGCATCCTCCCGTTGTGCAGCTCTGAGGTTCTCTTGGGTGGCCGTGGTGGCGGCGGCGTGTGCTCGGGGGGAGGCTCCAGGTCCTCCTTGGACAGCTCTTTCCACTGCTCCTGCACGGAAGGACTTTCTCTGATAAGCTACCCCAACTCTAACCTTCACCAAGGCAGAATCGTTACACTCTACCTTTTAATTGACTCTTACAGTGGCTCTTCATTTGCACTGAAAAAAAGGCTGTGAAAAACAGCCCCAAGCCCAATTACACTCTACCTTTTAATTGACTCTTCATTTGCACTGAAAAAAAGGCTGTGAAAAACAGCCCCAAGGCCAAGCTAGAGCCACTGCACAATACACATCTCAAAGCAAGAAACTCTGACCTACTTCAGGAAAATTTAAATAGCACCAAGAAGAATCTGTTTGGCTGCAGTTCTGCTTAGCATAAAACAAACTCATAAATTTAATCACAATCCTTAAACTTGTTAGAAGTGCCAGAGGAGGCTGAGGCAGCAGCCACACGCCCCGTGCTGGAGAGCACAAGGCACCTGTGACCTCACAGGTACCTCTCAGAAAACTTAAATACAAGCTTTAGGCCATGACAGATCCTACAGCACTGCAGAGAATATGAAAATTCATCAAAGCTGCAGCAAACACCAGATTCAAAGCTCCTTTCCATCTTGTTCAGCCTCGGAGCTGCTGCAGTTCCTCAGAGCAGCAGCTCTGGCTGGAGCTGAGCAGCCAAGAGCACTGACCTGCACTGAAGCATCTCCCATGATGAACTTTGCCCCTTCGATAACAGCCAGGTAGGAGAACCGGAGCTGGTCTGCAGTCTGGATGAGTCCCATCCTGTACTTCCTCATCTCCAGGAGAACCTGTTTAACGTCCACAGACGAAGGATCTTTCCGTTTGTCCATCTGCAGAGACAGATTTGACACATGCTGTGTGCTCTGGTGGGACTCCCTGCAATGCCCCGTGCAGTGGAAGGGCCTCACACTCCCACACACTTGGCCAACTCACACATCACTGCTGGCAGCAGCTATCACTGGGGCTCCAGAGACAGAGGGGCAAACACTGGCACCCCAATGTGCTGTCTCTTTCCCCACCTTTGTCTTTTTAGTTTCAAAAATTAGGAAAAAGAAAAGGTCTGACTTCTTTGTGTTAGTTACTCTCACGCAGTGAGAGAAGGAAGCCAAGAGAACTCCAGCTCTATCCCAAAGTCAGAGCAACCTCCTCCTCCTCTGGGCAGAGGTGACTGTAAAAGCAAACCCACTGCATGCACTTTGCATTCTCTCAGGACAGTTCACTCCAGGACTTAGCAGACATCTAGCATGGCTTTCCTGAACCAGGAAGGCAAAGCTTGTCTTTGCCAGTCACTCTGGAAACTGGAGGCTTCTCATCCCCAGACTCTAAGTGGGGATGAGATCTGCCCTGGAACACACCCCAGAGCAGCAGCACTCCGTGGCCCTGCCCCAAACCAGCCCCCAGGCACTGTGCAGCAGCAGCAGGTGTGCATGAAGTCCTACCAGCAGGAGACACGTGTCCACGAGGCAGAAGGTGCCGGAGCGGCCGATGCCGGCGCTGCAGTG